TTTAATGTCTATCCTTTTCTTGTTCTCTTTCATTATTTCCTTTTGGTAAACAACTTATGTAGGAGATAGATTGTCTGACCTAAAAGGTCAGAAGCCTCTGGCAAGAAGGAGAAGAAAAAAAGAAAAATGGTAACAAAAAAACAACTAAGGCACTTGAGTTGTGAGCATTCAAAACCTGGCATCAGACTTGGCAACATATTAATTGTCTTTGGAGGGCATTAATATTGTAAGTCGAGGCTATTAAAATCAGACTTCCTGTTTCAGGCCTGGAAGACATAATGTGCAGATCCGTTGTTCCAGCTTTCCCTGGAGACTGTGTTTTATCCAAGTCCTACCCCTGCACTGCCTCATATTTTAAGTCCAAAATCTACTGGAAAGACCATTCATTTAGCTTTGCCACGTACTGTGCGGAAGCCTGTGTCACTGTTAATCTGGCTTTCCCACTAAATAGGTAAGCCTCCAGTTCCCTTACATGTCATACAGTCCTTTTAGATCTTAGGAAAGGTCCAACACCCTTCTTCCTCACCATTCATCTGGAAGCAGACTAATTAGCATTCATTGGCTAACCCTTCACTTTTTGCTCACTCTTTCAAGATGTCTGGTTCCAAGAATCCATCAGCCATGCTGGAATCAATCCATCACATTTTCCCAGTGTGTACGTTCTGTTCCTCTCCTCCTAAAGGACTGTTTTGTCATTCCCACCTGTAACCTCTGCCACTGATCTCACTGAAAGAGGTCTTTGGCCCACTTCACGCACATTCTTCCATTTGCACCCTAGCTCCCATTCCTTCTTTTTTATGTCTTCTCTCTTACACTCTCCAATGTCACCCCATCCTGCTTAATATATATAGCTCAAAAGCAAACATACTATCTTTTCAAACAATTTCTTAGCACTTATCTGTCCAGGAACTGATTTTTCTCCTCTTGCCTCTATCATGATACACTCACTGCCTGTAATTCACCCCTCCTGTTCTCCCTCCGTCTCACTTCAGAGGCTCCTGCAGGAAACTCTTAGAAAAGAGGACCATGACTCTCTGCACAGCTAAACCTAATGAAACCCTTTAATCCCCACTGAATCAGCGAGCTGTCAGAACAAGGATCATCCTTGAAACACGTTTTCTTACACAGCATGGCTGTAAGATGGGGGTCCCTTCTGCCTTTCTCTTCCCTCAGTTTTAGTTTCTTCTTAGTCTCTCATTCTGGTTCCATCACATCCTCCACAAATAGTAATTCCCCTGAACTCAATCATTATCCCTTATTTGAGTTGACTCTCTCTGATTATCTCATCCAGGCTTAGATATTTCAATGTTGCCTCTTTGATTAGTTCTTCCAGACTTCCATGTCTAGTCTGACCTGTTTCCTAAACTCCAGGCTTAGTATCTGGCTGCATATTGGACCTCCTCAAGTGGAATGTCTAAAGTGTCACAAATGTAACTACATGAAACACCCCAAACTGTTCCTCTGTAGCCTTTTCTACTGCAATAAATGTTGATTCCATCTGCCCACTGGCCCAGGACAATGCATCCTGGTGTCCTCCATTGGTTCTCTCTTCCTTTCATTTCCCTCCTGCTCCAGTTTGAGTCCACTAAAAAGCCCCGATAGCTCCAGTTTGAAACAGGCCCAGACTCTGACCAGAGTTTATTTCCTCCCATGACATTAGCCTGGTTCACACCCATTTCCCTCTCATTTGCATTTATAAACTGTCCTTGTCTGAATCCTGTTGCTTTGATGAAACCCTGACAAAATCAAGTTGGACAGGAAAGGGGTTTATCCATCAGTGAGAGGGGATAGGGCCCATGCTTAAGGCAAAACGCTGGAGGCCGGAGCTGAAGCAGAGACCACAAGGGAAAGCTGCTTAGTAACTTCCTTCCAAGCCACCATCCATGCACCTCTCCAATACAGCACAGGACTGTCTGCCCACAGATAACCTCTTTCATTGGTTAACTATCAAATGCCCCACAGGCATGCCCATAGGTGAATTTGATGGAGAAAATTCCTTCACTGAGGTTCCATCTTCCCAGGTATCTGTAGTTTATGTCAAGTTAACTAAAATCAACCACTACCCTGTAGCAGATGCCTGTATTTTGGCCATCATATCGTTCACTTAATGTATTATGAACATAATAGACTTAACTATCCTATTTCAACCGTGGCAACTCCCTTATCCAAAGTTTGCAAATATTCTCCCATGTCACTCAGCGGCATGGCCTCTTTGGTGCTCATGTCCCATCTTTCCTCCTTTCTACTGTTACCCTCTGAGGAAATGGGCATACTTGCTGGTTCTAGCATGACACAGACGTGTTAATAGCTCCTTCAAATCCTTACTTGGTGAGATCATCTCTTGCCTGAGGTCCTGCAAATTCCCCTATTTCTGCATCTTGGATTTCTCTGTAACAGTTATCACAGAATAGAATTTATCGTTTAGAGTATATAAACTTTAAGTTCCATGTAATTGGGATATTTGTTCATTTTTGTTCACTGTTGTATCCTCAGCACTTGAAATAGAGCCTGAAATACTTAATGTTTAATAAATAAATAAATCAGTGGAATGCATGCGATCTGGAAGAGTATTGGTTGCTATAATCAGTATTACTTCTCTACTTTATTCCTCTGAGTCCTTGTTTCTCTGATGTCATTATTTTCCATTTGAATAGCATTGGAAAACATATTCTTTCTAGAAGATGCAACAGGTACAATCTTATTCTCCAGATCGCCTCATGGCTGATATTGCTGTGTCCTCACCAGAACTCCGTCCTGTTGTTACTGAGCAAACAGATGTTCTCAGTAGAGAACATCACCACTCCCCCCTTCCCCCAACACACACCTTGTACTTGCACATGGCTGTATGACAGGATTCCTCCTGTGGCCTTTAATTCTATGGTTCGAGCTATGAGAAACCTAAATCTTAAGGAACCTTTCTTAAGACTCTATGTTTTCCTTTACTGTCTGGCTGGATATGGATATGATATAAAAGCTGTGGTTCCTGATGAGAACAAAACATTGCTAATACACCAGGAATACCTATTTGTGATCTGACATAAATTTGAAATACAAACCAGTACATAACCCTATCAAAGATGTAGTCCCCAATGATCTGGCATAAGTATATATAAAACAAACACAACAAGAAGAGTTGTCGTTCCTCTGTTTTGCTGAATAGTTACCAGAGCTAAGGAATGAGCTCTCAAACAGAAATCAAAATGATCTGGAATGCAATTGTTTATTGAATAATAACTTTTCTTCTTCAAAACAAAGTTAAGCTGCATTTTCCATTTTTACTCTAAATGGTAATAAATCTAATAAATACTTCAGAGTTTTTCTCCAATCGAAATGATCTTCCAGAGTTCTCTGGATATCACTATCATTGGGATATATTTCTTCTGAAAACTATAAAAATAAAACCACTTATACATACTTTTGAAAGGCCAATGTATCCAAAGCAGAAACTAAAAATCATGTGGTGGAAAAAAAGGAAAATACTAGGCACACACTGCTACCCCTGAAAGTAGCTTTCATAATTCAAGCAATATTTTTCATGTTGCCATATGTGTGCCCATGCTGACAGAGAAAGATGGGTTAGCTGAGTGTGATGGCACATGACTGTAATCTGAGAAACCAGGAGGCTAAGGCAGGTATGTCAGGAGTTCACAGTCATCCTCAGTTATAGAGCAAGTTTGGGGCCAGCCTGGCCTCCAAGACAACATCAACCAAAGAAATGAAAAGACCATTTGGTAATGAAGACCATGTAGGTGAGACAGAGAAATGAATACAGAAGAACAGACACAGAAGAGATGAGCTAATGAAGAAGATGAGATGAGATTGCCTAGTAAGATTGCCCCCTGGTTTTGAGCTATAGAAGTTTCCTACAATTGTGCAAGCGTTGCCTGGTTCTGTAGTTCCAAGTATTCCAGAACATTTCTGGCATGCATTGCCTGTGTCAACTGTTATTGAATTATACTCCAAGGTGGGAGTTTCTTGAACCAATGCAGAGCTTATAGGTCTGAGATCTATAAAGAAGTAGACGGGGCCTACTGATGGCCTATACTGGGCTGTGGCCTGTGAAACATTAGGATCCAGGTATTCTCAGAATACTGAGATGAAGTCCAGCCTCTGACCCCTTTATGGCTAGCATGGCATCATAAACTGGAGGCTTGCTTCCTACATTACAGCTGTGGCTGTTTACATGTCACAAAGTAGCTTTGGACCTCTATGCTTCTCAACTGTGAAAGGGGAAGGACAACAATGTATTTCATGGTCCTGTTGTAAGAACTGAACTGAATAGTAAGTGCAGAGGACTCAGCATTGGGCACCTTGCGAACATTCATAAAAGGTAGCCATTTTCCTATTTTATTGTCTCAAAGCTTCTGCCTCCCACTATTCAAGGTTTGAAGAGGAAACCCTTTTAAAGTAATTGGTGAGATGAAGTCTTGCTGTTGACCAGGCTGCTCTCAAACTCATGGGTTTAAGAGATACTCACACCTCAACTCCCTGAGTATATGGGACAATAAGTCCACACTACCATGCTCAAGTATGAGGTCCCACTAATTTTTTTATTTAAATATTTTCATTTTGCATACCAACCCCAGTTTCCCCTCTCTTTCCCTTTCTCATCCCTCTTCCTCTGCCTCTCCCCTATCCACTCCTCAGAGAGGGTAAGGCCTTCCTGGGGAGTCAACAAAGTCTGGAATACCAATTTGAGGCAGGACCAAGCCCCCCCCCAGTATCAAGACTGATGAAGATATCCCACCATGGGGAATGGGCTCCAAAAAGCTAGTTCATATACCCAGGATAGGTCCTGGTACCACTGCCAAGGGCCTTGCCAACACATCTAGCCATATAACTGTCACCCACATTCAGAAGGTCTAATTTGGGATGCAGGCTCCCCAGCTATCAGTCCATAGTCCATGAGCTCCCACTAGCTCCTGTCAGCTGTCACTGTGGTTTTCCCCATCATACTCTTGACCTCCCTTGTTCGTATGATCCTCTCTCCCTCTCTTCACCTGAACTCCAGGAACTCAGCCCGGTGGTTGGCTGTGGGTCACTGCCTCTGCTTTCATCAGTTGTTGGATGTAGGTTCTATGAGGACCTATCGGGTCAAAACAACAAAATAAACTTCATTATTGAACATTGTGCTTCAATTTTTCTCATTTGTAAAATAGAAGTAACCCCACCAAACTTTCCTTTTTGATATAGTGATCATGACCACCAGAGAAGAAACGATGTAAAGGGTTACTAAAGCCTCTACAAAGATGAACATGTTGGAATAACTACATTTCCTCTTGCTTCCCATGTAAGTCTCCACTTTTTGTGTAACTTTTCACCTGTCTAACTCTTAAACTTAAAAATAATACAAGCTAGAATATTTTTGAAGACAAAGTTTCTCAAGACATTTTAGAATTTCTTGCTTACTTACTCCTGGCTCAAAGTACTGCAAAAACATCAACTCTTGTAATTCTTCACACCTCTGTTTCCAATCTTGGCCAGACTCTCAAATACAAAAAAAGAAGTGTTAAGATAGTCAGGGGAAAAGTTCAGTGGCTTCTCCTGAACTTCTAGAGAAAACTTTGAACAAAAGTTACGCTGTGAGTAGTCAGCTTGCCTGTTGACATGGACTCTGTCCTAATTTCTAGAACTTGAAGAAATATTCTAATTGCTTATCATGTCTTCCTGGTTTTCAAACATAAAATGCTGGGCTGACAGGATTATTTACTGAGTAGAGACTCTTCTGGCCAGGCATCACTGCCTATGTTCAGTGTACGCATTCCACAAGGGAGTGGGACAGACCAACTAGTGAGAAGTATTCTCTGAGCTTAACATGAGTACCCCTACACACACACACACACACACACACACACATGACACATGCACACTATAAATAAATATACCTATTCTAGCAGGAGTTTACAAGAAACTTAATAGAGTATGAAAGGAATTAGGATCAGTGTGTTATGACAGAATGGACTCCAGGCCAGCTGTTTTCCCTCCAGTGTGTGTCTCCCTCTTGAGAGTGCAGTAGTTGATCCCACTGATCCTCAGCCTAGGAAAGAGGGGCCTTCTAAGGTGTACAGAGGATAGGATGGAGAATGATGCCAGGAAAAATAAAATAATTCTTACAGTGGAAAAGTCCCACAAATGAAATGGAAACTAATACTCAAACAGGTTAAATTTCAGGTATTTAGCTGGTGTCATTTACTTGTGGGTCATGAGAAGTCACCAAGCTATTTAAAAGGAAAGGTTAGAAGGGCATAGGGGAACCAACTCCCCACTATTTCCAGGAATTGCAATGCATGTACCTACCATAGTATGCATTTAAGTGTCTAAATAGAAGAAGAAAGAATTAATGCTTTTCTAGTTGTGGGGGACAGAACTCCTGTATTCTTCTTTTTAAAGAAGAAAAACAGCAGTGAAACTGAACCCATCAAGTCCAACTCAGTGGGCCGAGTCCTAAAAACAGATCAGACTCGAGTTTCTTAAGGAAAGAAATACAAGGTAAGAAAGAGAATAATTTAAAACAAATCAGATTTGAACTGCTTCTCAAAGTTGTCCAAATTGATTGGTCAGATTTGGAGTGGGGGGACTCTTGGGAAGCTGTGTCACCAGCACCTGTGCACACCATTCTGGGTTGTGAAAGGAAACCCAGTTCTTGTAGACCAGACAGGCTTAGTTCTTTGTGCTATCACTTAACATGGGAATTCGGGGACTATGGAAGACTGTCCTGGTGGCCCCTTAGAGCTCCATGTGCTTTATTCATGCGCTCACACAGAAAATGGTGGAATATGCCTGCAGCAGCCCACACTCTGCAGATGGATGTGTTCCATAGGCGTCTCTTCGTGTGTCACAAATGCGTCTGTAAGCCATACGCACAGTACAAACTGGGAAACATTTTCAGATTAGGACCCAGAACCTTTCTCATTTTCACCTCATCATTCATAGATACACTCTTTAGTCTAGACCCATGGTTCTCAATCTGTGGATCATGATCCCCTTGAGGGTGGAATGAACCTTCCACAGTGGTCTCCTAAGACCATCAGAGGATGCAGATATTTACACTGCAATGCATAACAGTAGCAAAATTATAGTTATGAAGTGTCAACAAAAATAATTTTATGGCTGGGGAGTCACCGGAACATGAGAAACTATATTAAAGGGTCACACATTAGGAAGGTTGAAAACCACTGATCTAGACTATCTTATAAGAGATTTTATTTGGAGAAAGCTTCCCAATCAATTAATTCAATCATAATTTTCTTTTTTAATGTGTGTATACATGCATATGTGTGCATGTATGAACCTGTGCACCATGCTGGGCAAGTATGACTATGCTGGGGGGGAGTATAGAATAATGTAAGTATTGTATCTTGGACACATGCATTTTTTAAGACAGGGTCATTTACTTGTGAAGTAGGTTATGCTGGTCCTCTATGTTGTTGTTTTGTTTTGTTTTTTTCTGGGATTCACCTGTTTCTATTTTCTCAGCCCAGGGATTACAAATATATTACACACATGGGTTAATCATGATTTTCTTAAGGATGATACTTCTATTATAATGTGTACTGTTTCCCACCACCTGCCCAAGTCCCGCCGCTGTTTCAGCCCCTAAACAACACACAAGACATATTAATTATGAAGCTGTTGGCCATTTGTTATGGTTTCTTAATGGCTAGCTCTGACTTAATTATTAACCCATAATTACTAATTTATATTTTTAAAGGTTTATTTATTTATTACATATACAGTGTTCTGCCTACATACCAGAAGAAGGCACCAGATTGAATTGTAGATGGTGTAAGCCACCATGTGGTTGCTGGGAATTGAACTCAGGACCTTTGGAAGGACAGTCAGTGCTCTTAACCTCTGAGCCATCTCTCCAGCCCCCTAATTTATATTTGTATAAGGTCTTATATTATCAAGAATGCCAGACTTGTGTCCTCCCCTCCCAGGATCACATGGTGACTCTCTACTCTTGACTATATTTCCCATAATCCTCCTCGACTCCTAGTCTCACCTATTTTGCTTCCCTATTGGCCAACAATGCTTTATTTATCAACCAATAGGACAAACATATACACAGAAGGACTTGACCCATCATTCTATTAAGATAGAGAAGAGAAAGAAAACCCCAGTGTTCTATGCACATTCCCTTGCAGATTCACCTTTTAGCAAACATTTTTTGAGCACATACACCAGGCCATGCTCCATCCTGGACAAGAAGAGAAATAACAACATGGATATAACACTGTCCCTAAAGGAGCAATAGTGGCACTCATATGTTGTTGGTGACCAACAGCTCTCTAATTGGCCTTATGGTCCACTCAACAGAAGGGAAATTATGGTGGGTCCTAGAAACCTAACCAACTACCCAGAGACAGCAAGGTCATGGGTCTTAGGAGAAAATCTCCTGCCACCATGTTACTAGGTCAGTCTTTATAGCCACAGGTAAGTGTAACTCTCACCCCCATCAAAAAGCTTCTCTGCACAGACAATGAAGAGATCAGTGGATTGTGGGAAACCCACTCCAAAATGGGCACATCTACAGGGAACAATGTGGAAGAGAGTTAGATGGACCATAAGATCCAGGAGACTAGAAAGTCAGCTGTGAGACTGTGTCTCCCAGAAATGACTACCTAAACAAAGCCTGAACAATAACAATATCCACAGACATGCCAGTGTGGAGACAGGAAGATTCCATAGGTCCAACTCCTAGGTAAAAAAAAAACTACAGGCAGCTGTTGACTGCTGAAAAAGGGAGAATTTGTCTCTCTCTGATTGTTCATCCAATACAAGTGGTCAGCTCTAAAATCATATACACATAAACAATAAAAATGAATTGAGCAGGTTGTATTTATATATTTGTACATATAAACATGTAAAAATAATAGTCCAAAAAAGAGGCCATCAATTTGAGGGGTACAAGAATGGGGGGTTGGAGGAAGGAAACAGAAGAGGGGAATGATGTGCCTATGTATTAATTAAAACAGGTATTTAAAAAGAAGAATGCAAGCTGGACAGATGGATCAGCAGTTTGAGTACACGTTCAAATCCCAGCACCTACATGGTGGCCTTCAACCAACTGTTCTGGGGGATCTAAAAAGAAGAGGGTGAAAATACAGTAGTGGACACGGCTTATAATAACTTCTGTATGTGCTTGACTTGTTCCCTGTTGTGGAACATTCCTTTACTGCTAGTTACAGCATTCAACATTGCCAGTGCCAGGTAAAGGCCCTCTGAACATGAAACATCCATAAAATTCTGTCCATTTGGTTTCACAAATACACCGCGAGCCTAATTCCTTTTTAATAATAACAAGCTTTCGATCTGCCATTTATGGTGCAGTTCCAAGAAGAGGTGGTCAAGTACAGAGAAATCTACAACACAGTAAATACTGTGGGGAGACAGATTAAATAAGGTATCAAGTTTCTCAAAGCAACTCTGGAAATAAGAATGGTACTTGAACTGGGTTTCCAGGGACAGAAGACTCAGTAAAAAGTTCAGCTGGGTTAAAGAACACAAAAGGAGGGTTGCAGGCAGGGGATGGATCAGTTCTGAGCTACACTAAGATCTTGCACTATACTTTACCCTCCAGGAAAATTCAGTAACAGTATTTGAGCTAGAGTATCAAACATACAATTAGTGTATATATTTACATATAAGACTACTCCAAAAACACCTTCCTTCTAGACAACCAATAACTTTACCACTGGATATGAAATTGTGAGTCTTTCTGAATATTAAACAATACTTACAGGAGATGATGTATGGATCCACTAGGTAGCAAGAGGAGGTGGAGTGTGCATCAGACTCCACTGATGATGTCAACCACTATCTGCACTGTGGTGGCTAAGGACTGGGTGTTATAGTACCTGGAATATTCTTGAGTCAGGTTTGAGATGCCTGCCTATGTTTAATCAGTAATGCATCATTTTGATGGTTGATACAGAAAGAAATGAAATGGTATTCCAGCCTAGAGCCTGGAATTGAGTTCCTGCTGAGCCTGGGAGAGCACTGCAGAGAAGAAAGGTTTTCTATATATGTCATATTCTATGTATGTCATATAATATGTTGTGATATTTTTTCTGGTTGATGCAGTGGTTCTCTAGAAATGCCTTTACGCATTGGATGGGGTTGAACTTTAGAAGTGTGCACAGAACTCCAGATTCAAGTCTAAGATCAAGACACCATCAAGGTCTTCTCTCTCTGAAGGCTCAGGGGTAGGGACAACTTTTGCCTTGTCTCTTCTGGTTTTTTGAGGATTTCTAGAAAGGCTTAATATTTCTTGGTTGATAAATCATGCCAGTCTCCATTTTCACAGAGCTTTCTCCATCACAAGGGTGTCAGCCAGTTAGGTCATGATCCATATTAACTTGATTATATCTGCCAAGACTCATTATCTCCATCCAAATAAAGTCATATTAGCAACTTCTGGAACCTTAGCACGTCTTGATGGGGGAGAATTATACTTAGCTTGCATATCCTTAAAGACAAACTACTGCATCTCCTACTGCTTAATGGACTGTCTCCTGTCCAACACAATCTAGTTCAAGTCAAATAGCTAAGGATATGCAGAGCCATGAGAGGGCAGAGACCCAGGACGTAGCCACACAAAGCCCCACCAGTACATGGAATACAGCCTCCAACTTCATTGTAGTCCTTTCTCCCCACTCCAAACTGTCCAGAGCTCAGTATTAATGAAAAAAAAAAAACAGGCGTGCTCAGAGTCATGATCCATCCGAAGTGATAGAGCCTTTGGGACAACCTGTCCTGCATCATGTCCTTGGGAGATTCTCCACCAGGCACTACCAAAGCAGTTCAAGGTGCAGGAATGCTAAACCGGTGGAGGTCGCAATGCTCAACTGCAGTGGATCTCCTGAAGCTGTTCATCCTGCAGTAGCAAGGAGGAATTCACTTGAAGACAGTGTTGGGCCTATATCCCTGATCTGTCCCAAACAGAAATGCTGACATATTCCTACTTTTTTCTTTTATTTAACACAAAACATAAAAGTGAGAAAATAACTTGGAGTTTTCCTCTATACTAAAATGTAAAGACCAGATTTTGCTATGAGTTCTGACTTGCCAGCCAAGAATCAGAACCTCAACATGTCAGATACAAGGGAGAAAGTATCACAAGCATGGAGCTTGATTCTGTCCTTACAGTGTGCTTATGTGGACAGTGACCCATGGCAAGTAGTAACAGCTGATGGAACTTATCACAATTGTGACATATCCCTCGTTTTTTTCTTTAGACCATTGTAACAACTTCTTTGCTAAGTAACTTACAAATTTCTTTCAGGTCTTACTAAAGTCTAACTTTGATACGGAGAGGACTTTGGTCTGAATTATAAAATGCCCATTATTTAGTGGAAACTAGATAAACACTAGAAAGACTTTTTATGCAAAACAAATCATGAAAAAAATGCTTATCAGGTGAGAGCTACTGTTGTGGGGAACAGAGGAGAGGATCCTGTGAGTCAGGGTTCAGGTATGGACCCTGTCGCTGAATCAGTATGAGTCACGATCAGCCCCAGAGATTTCTGAGCTAGGACTTTCTTAACTCTGAAGTTGACTGGCTCCACAGCCCACTCGAGATCAAGGTGCCAAATCCAACACTGATTTAAAACGTCAATGACTGAAAACTTACTCATCTGTTCCACTGAAATCCAAAGTTCATTTTGAAAGGGGGAAAATATGTATTTGTATGGTATTACATAAAATCACTGATTGCTAAAAATCTAGCACAACAAATTGCAAATGAATCTACTTTACTTCAGAATGGCATTTGTGAGTTAATGGTGCCATTTCACTGTTTATCTTAACTATACTTCATAATTGCATAAAGTTATATGAAGTTATATGCTACAAAGTTAATTTGAGATATGAATACAACATACAATAAACAAAAAGCTACATAGCATATCTGTCACCAGTTTTAGGGTACTTTTCTAATACTCCATATGTCACATGACACCTCATTTTCAATTTAGTAGCCTGATCAATAGTAGATGCATAGATGTTTATTGAACCCTATTTTTTTCTCTGAAAGTTTTCATAACAATTTTAAAAACTGTGTAGAGGACTAGAGAGATGACTCAGTAGCTAAGAGCACTGGTCACCCTTCCAGGGGACCTGGATTCAATTCCCAGCACCAACATGACTGCTCATAACTGTCATAACACCACTCCCAGGGGATCCAACACACACATAGTGTACAGAAACACATGTAGGCAAAATGCCTATTCACATAAAATAAAGATTTTTAAAGCTCTGAAAAGGTAAGAAAATTGGATATCAATCACTAATATCAGTTTGAATAGACAGAAGGTACTTAACATATACATAGACATAAACACTCATATGCATATATGTACACACATTTACATTCATGCATATTACACACAAGTATATTTTTACACCTTGGAGTAAATTCTCTAATGTATCACACATCCAAAGATACATGTGTAGTCAGTTTTGTCAACTCGACAGAATCCAGAATCATCCAAGAAGGCAGTCTCAGTGAGGAGTGGATTGCCCAGATCAGACAGGCATATGGGCATGTCTGTGAGGGATTGTCTTGACT